TTAAAATAATGTTAATGCTTTCTTTTTGCAAGGGAAGCTGCTACTTGGAGGCAGCATCCAATTTAAAAACTCAGTAAAATAATTTTTTTTTAAATTTGTGACAGACTTCACGTTCCTGAAATCTCAGATCACCGCAGACTGTGACAGCAGCCATGAAATTAAAAGGCGCCTGCTCCTTGGGAGGAAAGCGATGGCGAACCTAAACAGCATGATAAAAAATAGAGACATCTCCCTGCCAACAAAGGTCTGCATGGTCAAAGCAATGGTATTCCCAGTAGTCATGTGTATGGCTGCGAGAGTTGGACTATAAGGAAGGCCGAGCATGAAGCTGCCTTATACTGAACTGGATTGGCAGTGGCTCTCCAGGGTCTCAGGCAGAGGCCTTTCCCATTGCCCACTGCATGAACTTGACCAGCCACATCCTCCGGGGGATCGTACCGTAGACCTCCAGGTGGAAGATCTGCTTCTCCATCTCCCCCGTTGTGTTCACCAGCAGTGCCGAGAAGATCCCGCTGTCTCCCAGGGCCGCTGGACAGATCTCCAAAGTGAAATTCGTGTGGAGTCGGCTCCTCCCGTAGAAGCGGGATTGGTACAGGATCTGTGGGGTTCCCTTGAAGGAGACTGCCACCAGCTCTTCGACGGGGGTCAGGAACCTCCAGATGGTATCCCTGACATGGAAGCCAGGAGGGACGTTGGCCTTCAGGAACACGGGCTGTCCTTCGATTCCCAAGACTCGTACCGGGGCGCGGGCAAGAACGGCCAGCACTGCCAGAAAGGAAGTCACAAGAGACGTCATTATCAGAGAACGAAGGACACTGTTAATTGCTATCTGCATCGGTGCAAGGACTGTTCATCCCCCTGGAATTATGCTCAGTTTGCAAAACTTCTGAAAAGCTTCATGGGCAGAGATTTGCTTGTTTTATTTATTCGTTTTAAATTTTTATATGCGGTTTTTCCACCCAGGGCAGTGAACATCGAAACATTTCAAAAGTAGCAAAAAATGTTGGGACAAAAAAAAAGAAGAAGAAAGAAAGTAAACTATAAGTATGCACGTGGGGCAAATGTACAAAATATCACATATAATTTAATAATACATTCAGAAGTGCTAAAATATCATTGAAAAACAACAAGTCTTGTGGTTCACCATTTAAGTACCTAATCCCAATGTAAAGACAAAAGTCCATTTACATAAATACAGGTTTAAAAGTATATATTGTCTCCATATGTAAGAATGAGTAACAAATGCATTTCAGCCTTTGGCCTTCCTCAGTGGTATAATTCAAACTGAGCACTCCATTAATTTAGCAAAGACGTGCATAAAACGGATCATACGCAGAATGGACCGGATCAAAACATTTCAAACAGGAAAACTCTAAGAGGCGAGATCCCTGGTGAGAAAGGGAAAGATTATGTAGAAAAACAAGATTCAGGTCCAGGAGCACTTTAAAGACCAACAAGTTTCATGGGCTCCAGGGCGTAGATGTGTCGGTCTGCAGTAGAGCAGCTAGATTCGAATTCAGGGGTAACCTTAGAGACCGACAAGAGGATCAGGTTATAAGATTTTGGGTTTCAAAGCTCATACCCCCCAAATCTTGTTGATTTCTAAGGTGCTCCTGGACTCGAATCAAGGTTTTTTGGGGGGTTATGAGCTTTCAAGAGCTCTGAGGGACGTTGGACTCTTGTAGGGTTACCAAGAGTTACTGTGATCCGGCGGGGGAAACATGCTCCCAAGACTGCTCCAGGTGCTCCGGCCTGAGGGCTGCTGGGGGCGGGGCTCGAGTGCTCCTTACTTGTGGAGCTGAGGCTCAATGTCTCCAGCTGCTCCGCCACCTTCCCTTCCCTTGGTTTGCTCGGGGAGCCTGAGCAAGCCGGCTGCTGGAGGGAAGGAGAGGCAGTTTAAACCACCTTCCCTTCCCTTGGC